CCTGTTACAGTCGTTAATGCTTGAACATGTGACCTCCAATAACAACAACAATTCTTTCAACCACTGAAGTAAGTAGATTCGTGCGTCGAATACTGGATTAGTCGTATAATATGATATAATTTTGAAGTCTAAATAGTGCTCCCAAAATGATATTATTTTAAAATTTTGAATTTAGAGTTTAGGAATGTTATATAATTTTATAAAAGTTTAAAGTTTATTATATATATATATATGGTTTATTTTATATATATACTTTTAAGATTTTTAAAAAAATATTTTTTTTAAAATATTATAAACACAACATGTGTCACGTTTTGAATGATTGATATTTTTTAAATGTTCGTAACGAACCAAACAACTAAAATAATAACAAAAAAGTTAAATACATGTTTTAAATAAAAAATTCTTTAAACATTTAAAATCAACAAAGAGTATAATTTAAATGCTTATTTTATCGATAAACCTTGTAAATTTAAAATTATTGAATCTTTATATGTAATTTTTTTATATTCTATTATTAATCTCAATTACTCACTTTTACTAGTTCTTTCCTCCTTTTCCCATTCGCATGATCTTCCCCTGATGTTGTGGCGGTGTACGGTTTTTGTTCGCTTTTGTTTTTGCGATATGATTTCAGCTTTTTTTTCCTAATTATTTTCCAAATATCATGCTATGTTTGTTGTTTGGTCTTTAAAGTTACTATCTCTTTTATTTTAGTCATTAGTTGATGTAGATTGTTTAAGGGGCTGTTTGTTTGTCTCTTAATGGAACCATTCAGCATTCAGCGCGTTTGTTTTGCATCTCTGAATGATTCAGTACTGACTGATTCAGCAAAACAGTATTGAATGATTCATCACAGAAGTACATTCTAAATCATTCAGAGTCAGTTATCAAATAGCATGTCACATTCAGAGCCTCTGAATCATTCGGCATTTGAATCATTCGACATTTGAATCATTCAGCGCTTAATCATTCTGAAGTTAACAAACAACCCCTAAGTTTCTGTAACTTTGCATTCTAGCTTTCTATGTATATATAGTCCATTGTTACATATATGCGCATTTTTTTTTAATTTATGTCTAAGTGTATGAATACTTCATAAATCTATTTTGTATGTCGTTTCATGGGAGTAATCGTACATATATGTTATATTATTAACTTTTGCATTAAGGACAATATAAATGAATAATTTTTGTATATATATTAATTGTATTATTTTTTGTGCATGATATGTATGGAAGTGTGTAATTTTATGCATATAACTCTAAGTTTAATTTTAAATTATTCGTATGATATCCTCATAAGCACTACTTGACTCGAATCAAAAATAATTTGATTAAGGGTAATATTCATTCATTTTAGGATTATTGTGAAGTGATTGTCTTAACGTATAAGAAAATCACTTTTGATAATTTTAAAATGAAAGTGTGTCTCGTTAAGTAAAATCCTAAAATTGATTACATGTAAAATTTGGGAACGAAAGATTAAGAAATGTTCGTCTATTTAAATTTATCGAGAAAAGATCGTTAGAACTTATAAAATGTTTGATTTCGATCTATTTAAGTAATTGAATCTTTCTAAAAGGTTTGGTAATTTGTATTTAATTAATTTTCATCATCATTTATGCATTCCAATTAATAATGAATTTTAGAATGAAATGATAATATTTCTTTATTTCGATTGGAGTAAGAAATCATTACTATAAGGCATGAGAGGTCTTTTCTTTTCGATAAGAAATAATTAAATATCGTCGTTTTCTGTACTAAAATTCAAGGAACGTGTTTCAAAAGTAATCTTAAATTTAATTTGTTTTATTTTATGTTATTTTTATTTATGCATTTGAATTTAGAATTAATAATGAGTTTTAGAATGAAATTATAATATTTATTTATTTCGATTAGAGTAGGAATTGAATGTTTTAAGACATAAGAGGTCAATTCTTCTATATAGGAAATAATAAAATATTATTGAGATTCGTTTTAAAATTCAAAGAATATTATTTGCAGGGATCTTGAACTAAATTAAATTCGAATTCGTAAATTTCATTGCAAAGACAACTAATTAATCGACTAGGTACCGATTTAGGGCGTTGTGGGGGAGTTAATCATTCCCCAATCGTAACCGACTCCCGAACTCGAATTTTTGGTAATGCAGATCATAAAATTTTTGTTTTAATAAAAATTAACATTTTATTAAAATGACAAATATTTTTGGGTGTCCAATCACACCCTAATTAAAGATTGGAGGCGACTCCTCAAACCAATTTTTTTATTTTAAAAGGGAAACACCAAATCAATTGATACGATACTTTCAAAAATCACTAGTAAAAATTAAATTTGTGTTTTTTTAAGAAATCATTTCGGTACAAATATTATATATAATTTTGTTTTTTAAACCAGCAATGCCACATTGCCTTGTCTATTATCTTCTAGGATCGAAATCACAATCCCCATGTTCCAAACGATACTCCATTTCATGTATTTCACCAATAAAGCCATGAAAGTACCACGAATATTGACACCAAGAAAGCACTTGTTGATGTATATGTATCTTGGAAAGGAGAGCAATCTAAGGAGAATGAGGGCAATTAAAGAGAGAGAACAAAGTGAGGTGATTAGTGGGGCCTGCAGCTTTGAACCTTGCTTTGTTGACGGATCTATAAATCATCGTGAGTTTTAGGGTGAGGTAGGCTGAGGAAAGCTGTAACATAAAATGTTATAAATAATATAATATTTTAGGTAATAATATAATATTTTAGGTTATGCGGAATCTAAAATCTTATATTTTTTTATTTTTTCAGATGTAAATCTTCTTTGTTATTTTAGGTTACATTTCATAATATGTTGAACCGAAAATGTTAAAAACATAATATTTTTTGTTGCGTGCAGCCTAAAATATTATGTTATTTATAATATTTTAGGTCGCGTCTTTCCTTAATCCTATATTATGTTGTCTCACCCTAGATCACCAACAAATCTTGTGTTTGAGGCTTATGGGTTTTTCTCCTGCAACGATTTTCGATACGATATCGATAGTTGCAATGGTGTTGAAAAGGTCTAGAAAATGGGTTACTATGAACTTTGTCTAATCAGTAGTAGATCTAGAAATTAAAAAATGAAAGTTTAAAATTGTAATATTCTTTTTTTTACAAATAATGAGTATGTAAATTTTTTTTTTTTCATTTTTCCTTAGACTTAATATCTTTAGATACCTAAATTATATCTCAAATTGTATTATACTTTTAGAGTTCAAAATTGTAATATGCTTAAAGAATTTTTGTTAAAAATAGGTGTTTAAGGTTTTCTCTGTTACACTTTTAAGTGCCTACCGTTAAAAAAGAACTGTTAAGTGACACGTGACACGTTTAGATTTAATTTTTTTAAAATAATATTATATTTTTAAAAAAATCAAAAATATAAACGTGAAGTGTCATTTAATGAGTTTTTTAACGGTAGACACCTAAAAATGTAACGGAAAAAATAGTATACATTTATATTTAACGAAAAATTCTGTAAACACCAAAAGTCAATTTATGATATAATTTAAACACTTACAAATATATTCGTTAAGTTATTAATGGTGGAATAATATAATTACACTTAAAAATAAATATTAGTGTTAAAATTAAAATAATTAAAAGTTTAGCGATATAAAAAAGTCATCGCTTAAAGTTAGGTAGTATTTGAAGTAATTTTTCTTTAATTTAATATAAGTTTTACCATATGTTATAAGATAAAGTTCTTAATTATACAACCCAAGTAGCTTTAGTGATTAAGAGATTTATTGTTATCTCTTGAGGTTTCAAATTCGAACATTATATATCCTAAAAATATAAATTTTTATTGTCGAAGGATTAAGAATAAATACCACATCATATTCATTCAAATTTATAAAAAAATCTTAATCATGCACCTTATATAATTCATTTTAATACTTTTATTAATTATTTAAAATATCTTATCAATTTGAGTTTCAATTTAAATTTTAAATAATTATATCGTAATCAAAGATTTGATGACCTAATCTTCCAATATCTGATTTCTTTTTAAATAACCAATATCTAATTTGAATATTTTAAAATGGGATAGCAGTTGCAGAGATGAATTATTCAGACCAACCAGCTACGTAATATATCAAGCAGCGTGAAGATTTACATCAGATTCAGCAACACAATTATTGCTATTTTTCATAGAACAATTATTGCTAATTCCTGGGTTGGATATTGAATTTGTTGCTGCTATTTTTAAATAAATTCTACATCTAGTTTTATTTTTATCTAAAAAAGAACGATTAAAAAATATTTTTAATGAATCTAGAATTTATAATCTAACAAAATATTAGAGAATAAAGATGAATTGTTCGATCCCTGAACAATATGCTTGATTTATTATTTTTTAGAGTAAACTACTTATTTGGTAGTTAAACTATCAGTTTTATAGTCTGTTTTAATATTTAAACTTTCAATTTTTTTAAAATCATGCATAACGTTTAGTTTTTGTTTCATTTTAGTATCCTACCGTTAAAATCTTAACGCATTTAGTTAGGCATGTAAACAAGAACGAACACGAACGAATGTATGTTTATATTCATATTCATTCGTTTAAACTTTTATTAATGATAAAAGTTGAATAACATAATTTGATTAAATTAAAATTTTATGATCTTAATAAAAAAATTAAGTTTAATTCATTGATCTACAACGTAAATTACCCATCTTTTGTCTAAACGTAGACCTGCGGTTTGAATATTGAAAACAAAAGGGAAAGGGTATCAAGAAATAGCAAACAATAACTGAAACATTTATAGTAAAGGAATTTATTATAAGATAGTACTTATTGTATTTTTGAATCATAATTGTGTAAATCTAGAAATTTTACGATTAACAACATTCTCTTTAATAATAATTCGAACATAATAATTCGAACGTTAAAAAGTTAAAAAGAAAATAATGGAAAGAAATTATGAAAGCATAACCACTTTTATTTTTAACACAAACAAGAGAACACGATACATCCCACTTCGATATATTTTTAGCACACAAATAAGAGAACACGATACATCCCACTTCGATAACGATCAAACAACAAACATACAAGAAAATACAAAGCTTCCTCTCTTTGAACATCATACATATGAAAGGAAGCTGTGGCTTTATTCAAGTAGAAGTGTACTGCCGACATGCGATTTTCTTAATCCATCGTTTACTTCTGTTGGGTGAGGTGAGTGTCGATGTCTTTGGAGACATCCTTCACGAATTCAAGCAGAGTCTCGGGATGGTCAATCCCATCGTGCAGCTTCTCGTACTCCAAGGTCCAGTGCACTACGCTGCCACTGCCCTCGCTCTTGGGCGAAACTTGAATGGTTAATAAAAAGGTCTTGTACTCTTCCATTAGATCTCCCTCGATCACTCTGAAAGTGATCAAGTTCTTATCAGGATCTACAGCTTCAATTACCTCCTTAGCCTTTTTAGCCTTTCCATCTAAAAAAAAAAAGCAAGAAAACAAGCGAAAAGCATGAAAAGAATTCTGGTTTGTTATGCTTATATGATTATACCATACCATGGACATAACTCCAGCTGACGATGGTACCCACTTTCCCCCATTCACCTTCATGCAAATCACATCCTTGAATCTTGTCATAGCAGGTATGGTGAACATGGTGTGGTTTGTTGGTGAACATGTCGTGAAACTGCTCAGGAGTAGCCTTGATCTCTACATCGGTTTCAAGCTTACTCGTCATGGCTGATGATGCTATTGCTCGAGGAACAAGATGATCTCTTAACTGTAATCAATAACTAGTGTTCAACTGGGAGTGGTTTGTTTCATGTTCTAGCAGAGTTAATTATATAATGGTGTCCATGCCTGGGGTGTGATCCTCTCTAAATGATACTACCTGTTTTCGTATTCACTAGCCAATTATCGCCTGCCACGTATTTGATTTCACAGCTAGATGATCTTCTGATTATGTACTCAGGAATTTGCTTTCACGGGGAGCAGTTTGCTGCTTGTTTTAATTGACTGCTCTCTATGCTTAGGCAGCAATCATCCCCGAATGATATTATTAGGAATGCTTAAACGCACCTAAATCATTTGTATCGAGTTGCCTCTACACTATTTTTCAGAACGTTTTGCCTCAATAACTATAAATCGTTACCTTATTTACCTCAGAACATTAACTTCATTAAAATAAAAAATAGTAACCAATGAAAACGCTCCACGTTATCTTTTAATTTTTATTTTTTATTTGAATAAATAAAAATCTATTAAATAAAATAAAATTAATAGTATACCAGAATTACACTTTTCCCCTCCCCTTCTCCCTCCCCCACCTCCACCTTCTTATCCCCATCCCAATCTCAAAACCAGACTCCACCTCGTTCTATCTCACACCTTCCAACTCCATTAATTTCAAAACTAAGTTTCTATCTCACACCTTCCAATTTCATTAATTTCAAAACTAAGTTTTATTTAATTTCAAAACTAAGTTGGGTTGATTGCTCGGTATATTAAATAAAAAGCCGATCGCCAATCAAGATTCTTTCACCCAACTGTAAATTATAATAACATTCAAACCAAAGTCAACTTTTTAAAATGAAAGTGTAAAGATTTTAAAGAAAAAGGTTGATTGTCAAATCAAGATTTCATAAAATCAAAAATGTTATTTGTTAGAGATTTTCAATTCTCACAATCGAAATTGAGTTATTGTTAAGCCTTTGACTAACTAAAAGTTTAGCTAAGCATGATTGAAACCATATTTAGGATCTAAAAAAAGAAGGTAAAAAGAAAGTTGAAAGAAAATGAAATCTTTTATAAAATAACCCCAAAGAACAAAATCAAATTCAGTACATCTTTCAAGCTTCATCTTAATGGAATATTTATAACCTAGAGAATTACAAAAGATAAACTTCGAAAATATTCAAAGTAAAATAAAATTTCCTAAAAATCATTCAAAACATTTATCCAATGTATTTATCTTAAAATCTCAAACTTAAAATCCTAAAATAACTCTTCATAAGATAAATATGCTCGTCCACATTTCAAAGATTACTGACTGAACTTTTTAGAATCTACTGTAGCTTATTAGATCATCAGATTCTGTCATGTGGAACCGCGTCGTGCCTTAGATCGTACCCAAGACTCCAACCAAGATTCTAAAAATAATATATATATATATATATATATATGCAAAATTCACCCTCTTTATTGTTGGTTATGGAAAATAACTTCTTGCATAAAAATAAACAAAACAAAACTAAATCAATAACATAAAATAAATTAAAAAAATAATTATCAACAAAATATATATAAATCTAATTGCTCATCAATCATAAAAAATGATAGAGGAATGAAAAGGTTGATATTAAATTTAATTCATTATATGCGTATTAAATTAATCATATGCGTTTTAAAATTTGATGAAAAATCATTCCAGCTACACAGTTATTGCAGATCTGAATCTTCAAACAAAAAACTGTGGTTGAAAAATGTGATGACAGATTATTCCAGCTGTACGATTAGTGTAGACATGAGAACGCCAGATCGGTCAGTATTAAAATCGAATTTCGTGGTTTGAATTTAAAGATTTTTTTAATATACTTTATACTCCATTTGGATTGGTATAATGATAGAATATTAACAAAGTCGGAATTTGAATTTATAAAATTTTAAGAATCGAAAATATTTTTTCAATAAAAAATAAATAAAAAATTAAATATATGATAATTTTAAATTTTTAGAGATCCCATGACCATCCCTGTACATATCACATTTTACCTATGTGAGGAGGAGGTTGAATGTAAAAGAAATATAGTTAATTGAGTTAAAAAAACCAGATTGGAGGGGTATTGAGTTGAATAAAAAAGAAGATTGTTTTAGTTGAAAAAATAGTATCGAATTTAGAAAAAGAATGAGTCATATTGAGGTGGAAAAAAAATACGAGCAGCAATTTGAGGGAGGATTAGCATAATTTTGAAGATTTTTTCATTTTGATTTTTCATGTAAGTGTTAATTTTTTTTCAACTTATAATTTTTAGTTTATGTTAAATGTTATTAGTAGATGATATGTTATAATTAAAATTAGTTGTTAAATATAATTGTATATATATATATATTTTTTTTTGTATTTTTAGTTAAAAATAGTTGTTAGATTTAGTTTAGAATAGTTTTTGAAATGTAAAAATATAAAAAGAAAATAGGGTAAGAATAAAAATATTAAAAGTAAAAGGTGATTAAAATGCATAGTGTAAATGATGAGGAAAAAATATATAAATTTATTAGTATTAAAAATAGGGTTATCAGTAATAGTACTTCGGAAATTATTAAAAGTAAGTATTATATTATTTTTAATAATTATAATTATTACTTTATTGCTTTTATTATTAAAATAAAAATATAAGGTAAAGTATACAAATGGTCCTATAATTCTAAGATGTTGTTTTGTTGAATTTTTTACTATTAAAAGTTACAAAATGATTCATTGACTATAGGATATTGTTTTGTTGACTATTTTAACTATTAAAAGTTACAAAATGATCATCCGACTATTCGTATGTTCCAAAGTCATCATTTTTTATTAAAAATTTGATTGTAGTCTGAGCTGGACGTTAATATGTTGATTGTGATATGATAAAATTTGATCCTAAAATCTCAAACAACTATTATATCTTAGTTAAAATGTTAACGTCCAGCTCAAAATGTCCATTTCATCAATTTTTTTAACGAAAAAGGACGATTTTAGATCATATGAAGTCAATTTTTTAACTTTTAATAGTCGAGTTATCAACAAAACAATGTACTATAATCAGGGGATTATTTTATAATTTTTAATAGTTGAAAAACTCAATAAAATAGCCTCAATAAAATAGCCTCCTATAGTCGAGAAATCATTTATGTATCTTACTCAGAAATAGAAAGTTATTGAAAATAGGATGGATAGTGATAGTAATAGTTGTTTCTCAACTTTTCTTTTGTTTTATAGAACTAAACCCTAGGCGTAGTTCTCTTCTTCAGATCTTTACTATTGCTGTCTTGCCTATTCGTCGTCCATTTCTCCGTTCACCGGACGCCGTTCAATAACTAGAAATTTATTAGCTCTGTTTGCAACCTTAGATCTTTACCAATATTCACTCCAACTATCTCATTTGCTTCGATTCAAATGAAACAGAGGAAGTTAGGTTTTTTTTTTCTATGCAAAAGGTTGATGGAATCTCAAATATATTTTCCTTGAAGAATAATTAGTTATAATTTTTATTAGTCAATTTAATTACAATGTAATATTTATTTATAATTGTCTTAATTATTTAACAATCAACACATACATGAGCAAGCATATTTGGCTGGACTATGATTGAATTTAAAATTTGTTAATAAAAAAATAAAAACATACACAACTTCTCAAACCTAATACTTTGAAGAGAATAAAACTTTTTTCTATCACTTCAATTACTCAATTACGTGCTCATAATTAAAAGAATTAAATGAAAAATAGAAATAAATTATGAAATCATACTCGTATATTTAGCACAAATAGAAGCATAGATACATTCAGATTATTACATGATTTAACAACACATCCAAGAAAATAGGAAACCCCCTCTCTTTAACATCGTATCCAACCAAATATATATTCAGATTGAAATACATAAGAAAGGGAGCTGTCAATTTATTCCTTAAATAGATTAATACTGTTTCAAATAGTAGTGTAATAATACCACCTTGCCATTTTATTGACCGAGCAATTAGGTTTGTTGAGTGAGCTGAGCCTCGATGTCTTTGGAGACATCCCTCACGAATTCAAGCAGAGTCTCGGGATGGTCAATCCCATCGTGCAGCTTCTCGTACTCCAAGGTCCAGTGCATTACACTGCCACTGCTCTCGCTCTTGGGCGAAACTTGAATGGTTAATAAAAAGGTCTTGTACTCGTCCATTAGATCTCCCTCGATCACTCTGAAAGTGATCAAGTTCTTACCAGGATCTACAGCTGCAATCACCTCCTTTGCCTGTTTAGCCTTTCCATCTGAAAAAAAAAGAAACCAAGCGAAAAGCATGAAAAGAATTCTGGGTTTGTTATGTTTATATGATTATACCATACCATGGACATAACTCCAGTTGACGATGGTACCCACTTTCCCCCATTCACCTTCATGCAAATCACATCATTGAATCTTGTCATTGCAAGTGTGGTGCACATGGCGCGGTTTGTTGGTGAACATGTCGTGAAACTGCTCAGGCGAAGCCTTGATCTCTACATTTACCTCTTACCAGTCGGAGCTGAAGATGCCATTGTTTCAACAAGACTTGACTGTAATATTCAATAATTTGTTTGATGTTTTAGCATCGCTGTTTATAGAATGGTGTCTATGCCTACGGGAGTGATCCTTTCGAAATGATAGTCGCAAGCCAATTATCGCCTGCCACGTATTGATTTATCATGGTAATAATTAGACAATAAATACGCCATACCAGCCAGGTACGCAATATCCTCTGAATAATTTTTATTAATTGAATATTAATTAAGCAAGGGGCTGGTGCAGTCGCCAGATTCCCTGATGGATTTTATTTTTTATTTTTTATATATTAACGTATTATATTATTACTTGAATATTTATGGTAAAACTATGTCTTGGTCCCCTAAAAATTAGATTTTATTAATAATTTAAAATTTTATGCGAACATTTAATTTAAACCTTGTTCATTTTGTTAACTTAATATTTGTACCAAACTCATGAAGTGATAAAGTTTTGGATTTGAATAGCTATGTCTGCGGTGTTTGAGCATTGATTGGGATATTTTCT